GTTCTTATGTAAGAGGTAGAGGAATTCACGAACTTTGTTTTTGCTATACTCTAAAATGTCCATAATGTGACAACTACCGTTTTTCCCCTTTGCTCTTTATATGTAACAGCCATCTGTTTTGTTATTCCAGCATCATAATATAAAATAACCACATTTTATATTTATAACTTTTAAAATGTTTTTTAAAAAATTTATTTTATTTTTATTATAATTAAGGCTTCGACAACGTCGGTTACTCGCCTTATTTTGCTTGCAAGTTTTTGCATATACTGTTAAGACAGTATAGTAAGTGTTTACAACAAAACATGAAATTTTTAAAATTCATGTTTCAAGTTTATTATGTAGTTCTCTTGGCTGATGGCTGGTTTAGTGGAGGTTGATAAAACACTTTTTAAATGCTTAATTCTTTATTGCTTATTGGTATACATAAAAAAAAAGAAAACTACACAATTATTTATAGTTATATTCTGAGGTGCCGTTAGTGAACGGCCCCCTCTTTATGTTATTTAAGTCATGTATGTACATATTATAACAAATTAAAAAACCTATAGTTTTAATTTAACAGAATGTAAATATGTTTTAATAATAAATAGATGACATCAACTTGTGAATGATGTTTAAATGCATTAAAAAAAAGTGTATGTTACGATTGTACGCGTGAAAAGTAAAACTTTTTTCTGTATTTTTTTTTTTGTAAAAAAAGACAAAGACGAGTAGATTTTTAACTACTTAATATTGTATTTAACTATGGAAAACAAAAGTACAATTCGATTTGTAAAAAAAAGTTTAAAATTACCATTGATTGGTTTATCGTCTTATTCCGGATATCGGTTTACAATTATTGTTGATCCAATCAAAAGGTGATAAAAATATAAATATTATTGCTTCGTTTTTTTTTGTAAAAAAATGTATTAACATAAAACAAAATAGGTGTGATATATTAGGTTAGGATTAGGTTTTAATTATGTTAATTCTTAGAATAATAATAATATTATTACAGCACGTTAGTAAAACACCAATATTACAAAAAAAAAAAACAATTAGAAGGCAGCGTATAAAGATTTGTTTTTTATATTAATAATAGTACGGAGACCATAGAACTATAAAGAAATGTACTGATAGTAGAGAGAGGTCCGAGAGTTGATATCGTTAAAAAGCGATAGAAAGATTTGTTGGGTATGCCATAAATGAAAGAATATCATGGAAAAATAGTAATATAATAATTTTTAATTAATTTATATTGAAATATCGTTTTTAAATATTTAAATATATATATTTTTTTAATAGTAAATTAATATAATGGTCTCCACTCTAAACATTACATTGCATGTTGTGGTGGAGCGGCCAGGGCGAAACCCATGCTGCTCTTCCATAAAGACAGTAGATAGAGCAATGGAACTTAGAACAAGTGATTCAAGTAGTTTAAAAATATGGGTTTAAATGGATATTCGATGTAACTCATTATATGGAACGCGTAATCAGTTAAAAATTCCGAACTTAAGAAGCAGCCATTTTATGTACTAATTTCATTTAAAGTAAAAATGCTTCGTTACTTTTCCGTGATAAAAATGTTATATTATGTAATGATAACACCGCCATATCGCAGAATATTTTCATATAGCCTGTGGTCATAATATATTTTATAAATCTAATATCTAATAAACTGTCATAAACCGCCACAAATTTATTCGATCTATTTTTCAAATATTTAAATTACAATAAAAAATGAATAGATTTTTAAGTTTTGTTGGCGATTTGACGATTTTTTGGTTTAATTATTTTTGCGAAATGCCTAACCGTAATGTAGCCTATTAATAATTAAAAAAGTTCGAATAAGTTTGAATAAGTTAATTTAATTCATAAGTGTTAGTCAATGTCATCAAATGATAACTATGTATGTTTTATTGAATTTATTTTATCCATTGTTTTGTTTAATTTTACCAGTTTTCATACAAGAAAGGGTAGTTTCAGATTTTAAAAATGTCGGTGTTTGTCGCGATGGTAAAAGACTACACTAATAAACTAAGATTGTAATTTGGACTCGAATCTCCGAAGAATTTGAATATTTGTATAGTTGTTCAATGTTTCAATTGTTTTTACTTTATTTTGTCAAACGCTCGCACTTGTATTATTTAGGCCATTTCCTTAATAATTGTTTTACGATAAACACTCTTTTTTATTGAAAATAATAGTCAACAAAAAGTTCTTTTTCTCGGTTTTAATAATATGATATTTTTTTAGTAATATTATCATAAATATTGATATAATCCTAGTTACACAACTGACAGAATGACAAGATTTTCTAGAGTTTAAATTAATTGTCATAGAACGTAAGACTTTTAAAATGTTTAATTACTGTGATAGAAATGTTCGTATTTTTAATAAAATATTCCCATTGAAATATTGCTATTTTTTTAAAATATTCAATCATAACATTTCTTAGATCTGTCTGTGTACAATATTTTGCTGGCACCGTGCACTTGAACAAATATTTTTCTGGGGTTATAATAATAAAATAATATTATTAACATAATACTAGAAAAAACTGTTAGGCAAACTTATGGTTAAATATACGTTATGTTATGGTTATATATTAACTTATGGTTAATATATAATTACTTCTTGCGTACACGTGTAACACGTGTACGCAAGAAGTGTATAATTTTTATGGTTTAGGGTTCAAGTAGATTTTATATCTTTACTAAACATAATACTAACATAATATTATTATGTGGGTAGGTACTAGGTATTGTTCAAATAATATGTCGTTAACTTAACCCTTTGAAGCACAGCATTTTTTTTCTCTGATTTTCTCTGAACATGATTATGAAGGCGGTAATAAATATATACCACCGTGCAAGAGTAGGCAATTTTTGAAAAAGTGGTATATTACTTATACCACCATGCTTCAAAGGGTTAAATTAGAATGCATCCACTGTTTTCATTGGATAACAGTTAAGTAGTACAATAATAATATTTAAGCAGGAATTGCATTAGCACAGGTTTTGTACGTTACTCTCCAAGGTATATAGTGCGACATCTAGTGTTGTATTTTAATATCTCTCACGATATACTTGTACCGATAGAGACCATTATGTATGCGACGGCAGCCAAAATTGAATAAAATAATATATACCTACCAAGTATTTTATAACAATTGTGTGGAAATGTTTCTATAAATAAATGAAAATCTAAATTTATTAATATAAACCAAAACGGAAGTTACTTAAAATGTAAACACATAATATTATTGTGAAGTTATTTTTTGGTTGGCAAAAAGTGTTCTGTCGCATTTTTCATTTCGCTGTACCTTTTTGGCCATCTTTGTATAACAGCTGTTTTAAAGTAAATGATGGCTTCGACTGGCGATTTCTTGTAATTAAATAAATTAAATTAGCAAATTTTTTTACATAAAAATGCAAAATATCAAAAATATAACTATCATATCCATCTTATTGTTTAATACTTAAGAGAAAACTATGGTTTGGGTTTAAACAAATTAATCACAGTTACAAACAGTTGATTTACATAGATCTATACACAAACTTAAACCAAGTTTAAAGTTGTATTTTTCGAATCAATACATTTTTGTCAATCTGAATTATACCTACTATCAGACCGATGTAATCCTAAAAACAATGTTGTTCTTGAATTGTATAAACTTGGACTATTTTATTTAAGTATTTTTTTTTTAAGGTTCGGCGCAAGTCAGACCGATATCTAAGATTAGTTAGTTTTAGTCAATTTTAATCGGAATACATTTTTTTATCAGTTTGTCTGATCTTTGAGCTTTACTATTTAATCTGATGACTATTAGTGATAATAAAGGTTGGTTATAATTTTGTTGACACGCTAAAACTCAAGATCATTTACTACAATACCTTACCCTTCTTTGTATCGGGTCTAGTAAAAACACATATGCACGCTATGCTAATATATTCCTCGCTTGTTTTTTTTTTGATTATCTTAAAAAAATTACTCTAGGAATGTCGTAGAATCAGAAGAGTGCTGTATTTGTTCACATGAACTAAAGAGCAGTTCATGCGGCTAATGTTACAAGTTACAACTCAAAGTCCAATTAAAGCAACCCGCATTCGAGCTTTTCTTTATTAAATATTATAATAAATACCTTTTGAGAAAATAAGTATGTCTGGTGGAAAAGGTTACGTTTGTTGACTACGGATTGTTGTGGTTATAATATCTAAAAAAAAAATTAAATAAATGTGTAGCTAGTTTTATTAATTTTGTACTAGTATTACCAGTATTGTGTTTAAAAATACGTTGAAATTTTGGTGTATTTTCTGAAGTTTGATGGTGAAGAATGATATTTTACAAACGTTGGCCATGATAAGTATCTTTTTTCGGCCAATTTCGTTTTCATAACTAAAATTAGACTTGCTAAATAAAAAATTAACCTAGTTGTTAATTTCCGTTTAAAAGTTTAATTTTAAACTTTTAAATAGAAGTAGAAACGTTTAAAGGGTGAGTAAAAACTGAAAAAAGTTAAAATAAGAACCACCTTAATGTATGTATATTAAAAAAGAAGATTTATTTTACATTAATTATTCAAAATGCTCTTTAAATGTACTTTGTAATTACATGTTTATTTTGTGTTAAACATTTTCTGAAATTGGTAATAATACAATTTAATAATTTAACTTTTTAAAAACAAGCAATTATAAGTATAAAAGATTAGGAAAATAATAATAAAATGTAATTATAAAAAACTATACATATTAAAGTACCAGATCATCTATTTGATGTAAAAACGATACTTTAGGGAAAATATACAATCTTGTAGTTTTTGTTTTTGAATACATTATTCAATTTTAAAATTACAAATACGCATAATAATTATAATAATGTAATATTTTACAACATTGTATACTTAATATTCATTTTTTAAATTTTTTACAGAGATCTATCCACTTTTAAGACTTGAATGATCATGTATAAATTATAATATACATTCAATTAACTTTTTATACTAAGAAGCATTTGTTAAAATGTTGACTGGTCGATAACCAGTTTTAGATAATTACTTTTTAAGTTATTGAAGTTTAAAATTTGGACGGGTAAAGGGTGAAGTGCAGTATTACTTTTAGCATATTCCATCCCTCTCATCCTAAATTTTATACGTTACCATTTAAGTTTTAAAAGTTAATAGAGCTCTGGAAAATCAGTTCATCAGACTATATCACCTCCGTACTCGTTTGGCTGCATAAACAAGTTTTGGGTTTTCTTTGCTTGTTTGAACAGTGATCGCATCAATTGGAAATCGACATTTCTAAGTATTTTGCCGACGTGGCTAACGAAAATCGTACCGCGGGTACAATTTTTACACAAGTCGCTTAAACCGGCCATCGGGTTCTTTTCGAAAGACGTGGCCAGGTTGTATCGTTTGGCAAAACTCACAAGTAACACGTGCATACCGAACAGCTCTTGTTTATCAACGGGCGGGCGGACCGCGTCGAAGTTGACGCCAAAAAGCGCGGCAGTCGCTATTAGTATCGTCCGTATTCTTTCGGTCACCGATTCCAAGTGTTTGGACGTGACTTTCGTTTGTTCCTCGAACGCCATTATCAATGCCAGAAGGTCCGGGTCGGACGTCAGGCCGGTGTACTTGGCGAATTCGATCAACACCCTGGCAATGCACTTGCTCATGTTTGCCACAAAGTGCCAACTGGTGTCAACGTTCAGCGAGTTTTTCCGGAAATAGTCGATTAGTTGTCTCAACAGTTCGGCGTGCGTCCACGTTATTCGGCACATGATCATCTTAAGCCCCACTAGGTAGAGATGCTGGTACGTTTTGATTCTGGCCAGTCCGTCGTGTATAGACATGGGATTAGCCTTGGCCCGGTCGTACGCTTCGCCCAGACGTTTGTTCACGTCTTGCCACTCGACATTGTTGTCGTACAAAATCTGCAAGTGTCCCAAGACGGTGTGCCCGTCGTTCAAGTACAAACGGTTCAACGAAAAAGCCGCGATATTGTTCCGGGCCACTGATAACCGCCTGTTGACGTCCATCAGTGCTGCCACGTCCGATTCGTACAGTGTGACCAACCGCACGGCCGCGTCGTATTCCGCTTTGTTCGAGAGCGCCGTCATCAAAACGAACTCCTTGTGCCGACCGGATCCATCGTCCGTCACGTACAGCTCGTGATGGTACCTGCATAGAATAGATAAAAGCAGAAGGATCACTTTTAAAGTAAACAAAAACGTGACGGCCGTGTTAAAAGGGCATGCAATGAAAAGGCTTTACTTGTCTATTTAGTACTATCAGTTTAAAATATTGATATTAAGGTATAAAATATATTTGTTTAAATTAGTTATAACAAATATTTTTCAATTGCTAATATATATTAAAAGCTCTTAAAGCGATTTTTCTAGTCATTAAATCAATAATTATTGTTTTGACTTTCGTATAAAAATTATATTCTACTTTTAGTTTTGCGAAAATGGTCACACTGCGACGCTCTAAGACTATGGCCGTTGCGTCTTTATGTGATAAGTATCTTCCCCGTGTTAATTTTTCGGGGCCTGGTACCTGTAACATTTGTCCTTCTTGTCGCTCAGGGCTACCGTCACCGACTCCAGCAACGCAACCAACCGGACCGATACGCCCTGGCCCCCGACACCGTTAGCCAGCAGCCGGTCTCGGTAAGCGCTTGCATCGGCCACGAACATGTAAAACAACCACCATTCGTACAGCTGGGGATTCTGGATGTTGTACAGAACGGTCAACATGAGCCGGGCATACACGCCAAAAGACGACACGCGGTCCACAGCCGCCTTGGTCAAGTCCACGTCATTGTACCATTTGAAAAGGTGTTTGACAATCTTTAGAAAACCGAGAGCTATCAATTTGAAACCACACGTGATGTCCGACATTCGCCACATGGACAGCTCTTTTATTTGCTCGGGTGACAGAGCCGCAAGTCTAGGCACGTCCACTGCACACGAACCGTTTTTCACAAATCCCGTTTGGATTTTACACAGATTCACCATCGTGGACTGCAGTTGGATCTGTTCGACGATTGGCTTACCAACCGATAATGTATTATATGCCAAACCGTAGAGCACCGCCGTTACAAACAACCCACGAAGGGAAATCATTATTTTAGTTTTTCACCTAATCGTCACGAGCGATCGAAACAACACAACACTTTTATATTTTATATACAAGAAGAGCGATTCGAGTTCAATATTATTATGTCTTTTATCGGAATGAACAAGTGTCTTGTACAAACAATTTTTGTTTATTGACAGTGCTTGTTTTTCTTACATTTTTAATATTCAAGGTATGTGTATCAATGAAAAAAAAACAAAGGAATTCGACTATCCGCTTAGGAGCCCAGATATATAAATGAAATATTCTACCACTCAGTATTTCTGCGTAGTATTATAATATTGAGCGTTTTATTATTTTAATAAAAAATGTTACAAAAAATATCTTGCCACACAATTACATTATCCAACTACTTTGTTTAAACAATTCGTTTTTTTTTTAAAGTTTCAAATAGGTATGGCAAAAAAAAATTTTGTTCGGTGTCACACTTTTAATTTATCTGCAGTATAAAATAATGAAACACAATAATTATTTTTATTATAACTATTGATTAATTTAATGGGATAACAACAAAATATTAAATGTGTACGATTGTTGTTTTTTTTTTTATTGAGAATTGTCAACATGCTGCATATAGTTATGTTATTTTATAATTATTTTTTTGGTAAAAATATATTTAAATACAAAAAGCTTCATATTTTTTGTTTAAGTTTTTGCTAGATGTTTAAGAAATGACATTGTTTTAATCTATTATGACATTTTCTACATCATTTATAGCAAATGAGCTCGTATACCTTTATAAAAATAATTCGTTTGTTACACATAAAACCGTCCACATAACTGTTGTTATTACGAAACTTATATACAATTTTCATTAACAACAAATTATTAACTAGTTCACGTTTGATCAGGACACACATTTAATATTAGGATTGTAGGCTTCTATTATGTTAGTAAAAAGAATACCGTTTTCAACATGCAAAGTCATTTTAATCAAACTAATAGTTTACAAAAACAACCTAATATTTTAAGTGCATACTATTGTATTCTTATTTTATATTGAATACGGTGTAAACAAAATAGCATTAAACGAAATAATCTATAATATTTTCATGAATTTTTTATATATATCTTTTTTTTTGAGGTTTAGCAACTGGGGCTACTTTAGTTTTTTAGTTATTGTTTGATTTAGTTTGGTAAGTGTGGAACATGCATAATGAGGGGTCCAAGCGGCAATGGACACAGTTTAACCTAAGATGCCGAGTGACAACTAAAATTGTCCATGCCCAAATTTTAAATATTATATAAAAATAAATCTAAAATAAATACTTTCAAATTCTACAACATGAAACATAATTATTTATTACATATTTTCAAATCAAAAATAAATTGTAGAATGCCACTAAAACAATTGATTGGCGTAGGTCAAATATAAACAGATATTACTAACAGTACATAATTGTTTATACAAATTTCTCATAGCCTTAGAAAACGACCTAAAATTATCGATAATATTTATGAACTTTTTATCGGTACTATTATTTAAAAATGCAGGGCTTCTCTCCTTTTGAACTCGGTCCACCTGTCTAGATGATAACATCAGTAATATTCCGGCGACTTCAGCTAAACTTTCATCGTCTTTCATTACTTCTCCATCCTCTTTAGTAGACACTCTACGTAGTACACCTGATTCAGTTTCATATTTTTCTATTATATCAATCAGCTGGTTCAACTTACTATTACTAGGCGTATAGTTTTCTAAATTTGAAATTATTACATTGATAAGTTTGTAATGGTGTTTTTGTAGTATCGGTTCTAAAATGGATAATGCATCCTTGATAAGCCCTATGAAATACTCAATCACTTCATTATTAAAGCTAAGATGAGGTATTTGCATTGCAGTAAGAAATTCTTTAATGTATCCAAACAATGCAAAGTTGAATACCTTAAATAAAGCAATTTGATAAGCCACAAGATTGTGTGTGGACATACTATTTTTGGCTATATTATAAATTTCCGGTATGGTTAAATAGCTATTACTCCATTCTACTTCATAATTCTTAATAAATACAAAATCATTTAGAGACGTCAATGGTTCCCTGATAATAACTTCAAACATCATGTAACCTAGGTTAAGATAATTATGGAAATCATCGTGGCGTCTGAATTCTTCTGAAAAACGATTTTCATTAGAGTTGATTTCTTCGTTATTTTCAACGTCCATGAGTTCGCAGGATGTTCTATTATTCCAACCTGTACTATCTTCAACACTGCACTGTTTTTTGTTGGTACTTTCTTCATCATTGTTCTCCATAACTTCATTGGATGTACCGTGAGAAAATGGGTCATCATTTTTACCGACATAATCCAATAACTTTGAAGAAAAATCATTTTGGTTTTCAAAAATTTTTTCACCGATATGGACGAACAGAAGACTGTCGTTTTCCATAACGCTTTGTCGTTGATTTATATCGAACTGATGAAATATGGTACTTGTGTAATGTTCAAGAGAAAACGGCATAGGACAATATTGATTCATGAACATCTCTAACGGGATAATTAATGTTTGGTGGAAACGCTTTAATCGGAGCGTTTTTTTGAAAATAGTGCCCGTGAATAGTAAATACATTAAAATACGTTCGTTATTATTTTCAGAAACATCATGCAGCTGCTGGTCTTGGGAAAGGTACAACAATAAATTGTACATGAACTCTATGATTTTGTTGGCCCATAACGAACTCTTATCGTGAAATGAAATAGATTTTAGAAATTTACTGGAGAAATGTATAAAATTCGTTTTTATCGATTGGCCAAGTTTTTGAACTTCACCAAAACATTTGATTAATTCCGTAGACAATTCGTTTTTGAACGAAACCATTAATTCAGTAGCAATAGCCTCACATTGCGTTATCACAAAATCACCTAACACGAAGTGCTGAATTGCATACTCCGCAAACTCACATAATATTGTCTTTGTAGTAGAATTTATTTCTGGGTGACTGAAAATAAAATCTGGTTCCATAAATCCTGTAACACATTCCAGTGTAAAATCTAAACGTTCATTTATTACTGGAATCGACGTAAAAAAATAATGCTTGACCCTTTCAATATTTTTTGTGATATTATCGAGTAACTCGACTATTGTTTGCTCACTTACAGTCTCCAGAGATAGTAATATAGTTCTAAAATCTACTTGTTCGAAATATTCTTCAATCGATTCCAATAATAAGTGTCGATCATTCATTTGAAGTCCTCTTTTGTACTCTATATTTTTTAAATTAAGATACAAATAACTTCCAACTGGGTGTAAACTCTGTACTGTTCTTATTGCGTTTTGTATTATAATCATTTCTTCACTATTCTCTTGTTGAAGACGCAATGTTCCTGATGTGGAATCTGCTTTGATAATATTCGATATTAAATAAAACAAAACAGAGCTCAAACATTCAATCACTATGGTTTGATATTTAAATACTCCTTCTGAATGATAATCCTTAATGATGTGTTGGTAAATATTTTGTATAGTGTTCAGCCCGATAACGGACGGTAAAGTCACATCTCTTAGACGAACGGAATTGGAAAAAGAAGAACCTGGAATCAGTTCCAAATCCAATAACATAGTCAGCATGAAGTTTTTAGGATAAAACAAATCACGTTTATATTCTTTTTCGGTAGAGCTTAACGATAACGGAAGTTTAAGTCCGGATAGTTTATGTTTCAAATTCGTTGCCAAACAATAAATATAATGCTTTAGACCAGTGCTGTCCCAAAAATATTTTTTGAAAATATAACATTCATTTTTAACTGCTGTAAATATTTCACAATCGTCTAACGTCACCGGCAAACAAAATTCAGTGGTGTACGATTCTAACGTGTCTCTTATGTACGAGGATACTTTTTGTCTTGTTAGATTATTTTCAGATACGTTTGTAGCTAAAGTCTGTGGATAGTAAAGATCATCATTATGGAAATACATTTGTGTTGCCAATAATCCTTTCAACACATTTTTATCGATAACTATATTTAAATGTTCAGAGTAGTACAACGTAGAGGACATAATATCTAAAAGAGTAGTTTCATAAGTATTCAAATCATCTTTGATTGCACCAATGCACGTATCAAATGATTGTCCATCCAAAACATATTTGCCTCCAAGGCATTGCTCAGTAATATATTCGCCAGCTTTAATGATCTGTACGACTGTGTTAGAGTAACAACAACTTAATGCAGTAAAAGCCACCCGAGACACCTTGTTAGCATTTTCACCTGTCATAATCCATTTGGCTGTGTCCGGACCAAGTATATCATTTAACGAAATTATTTGATTATCCATCCAGACATTAACGTTACTTAAATATTTTAAGTTTGGTGATTTTTCGAATGCATTTGATATAAATTCATAATTTTTTGAACCGTTTACAGACAATAATAAAGTAAGCCATATTACCCGAGAAATATAATTTAAAATCATCATTTGTATTTGACTCTTCTGATGATTCCGCCAACGACAGTATTGTTTTGTGCAAAATATACTGCGCGTTTAACTTGTGCTTTGTTCAAAATCGTATTGCGCGAGTAATGAATACAGATAAATTGTGGTATGTATGTTGGTTTTAGTATTAACATGAACACATTTTAAAGTAGAATCCAAATAGTGTTTTTTTCTACATCTACAAACTATTCATGTGCCTACCATCGTACTTAGGTACGATCTTATTCAGTTATATTTTTATTTGTATATTTGTTTAAATAAACATAGATTGCGTGGGTGGAAATCCGAATATCTCTAGAGTCTAGTACCGACATCGATACCGGCACTGCGCCACACAGGTTAATGAAAAGTAAACTAACAACCATTATTTGTATACGGTTGAATAACAACTGACACGGCCTGCAAGTGTACGTTACGTTTATTCCGATTATATTATTGGTTTCTATGATTTATTATCACCCTATACACTGAACTCCAAAAAAATTAATTTTATAAATTCAATTCGTCGAATCGGTTTCCATTCGGTTGGATTTAATAAACTCAGTGTTACTTTATAATATCTAGTACCATGACTTTTTATTAATCGTCTGCGGCAAAGTCGCAAAAAAAAATTCCTTTA